TAACGATAACCTATATATGTTTAATACGGCTGCCTCTTATAAAGAAATCTTATATGTGAATCCGCGTGGTATTAAACATAAATTAACCATTGAAAATTCTATTTTGTTATGGCACAAGCGATTAGGACACTTCTGTTAAAAGAGAATGGAAAATCTTGTGTCAGAAAGAATTCTTGATTTCCTTAATTTTTTCCAGACTTAAGTGTTTATATCAATTGCATTGAGGAAAAATAAACAAACATAAGGAGAGTAAGTGCCATAGGATTTTGGACATCTTGGAACTAATTCATACGGATATCTGTGGACCATTCCCTCCGACTTCTTGGAATGGTCAACAGTCATTTATTACGTTCATAGACGAATCTTTTCACTATGATTACCTATATCTCATCTATGAGGAATCCCAAACACTGGAAATGTTCAAGGCATACAAAATCGAGATTGAAAATCAAATCGGTAAAAGAATTCAACAAGTTAAATCTTACCATAGTGGTGAATACTATGATAGATATGATGAATCAGGAGAACAACGTCCAAGGCTTTTTGCTAAAATTCCTAAAGGAATGTGGAATCATTACACAGTACATTAGGATCTTTCTAGAAAAGATCAGTAAAGAATGCAGCTTAAATTCTCAACACAGTTCCAAGTAAAGCAATTTTTAAGGGGTTACAAATTTTTAAAGATCCCACTATTAAGTCAATTTTCAAACGAAAAATGTTCGATTCCTTAAGAATGTAGAGTTTACAGGGGTAGATAAGATTATAAGGTTAAGGATTTTGTCTTGAATGAAGAATATGTATATATTTCTTCTGTTGCAATTGACAATGATCAGGTTTATGGACAAATTATTGCTTCAGATCTTGTTCAAGAAGCAATTTTGGATCAGACTACATTACAAAATCCCCTATACACAATCTCTTGATTGTTTCAGAAATTCAAACTCAACAACCTAAAGAACAACAAATGTCATTAAGGAAATCCACTATAAAAAGAAGAAAGACAATTCTGGATTTTTTTATAATGTCTCTCCAAGAAAATAAGGATGACATGGATTGTTGAAAGAAGACCTGATCAATCAACTTTCATCAAGTCATGCAAAGGAATAACTCTCAAAAGTGGATTGATGCCATGAATAAGGAGTAAGTCTATGCACGACAATAAAGTTTGAGATCTTGTCCCATTATTAGAAGGTACAAAACTCATTGGTTGCAAATGGATATTTAAAACCAAAAGGGATTCAAATGGTAATGTGGAAAGATATAAGGCTCGTCTTGTAGCTA